TTATATAATTATATACATCCCATGCGTTCTCCTCTTCCATACCAACGCCTAAAATTGAATAATACACCTCGATATCTGTACCTGAACGCTAGTCCACACGGTGGTGCCATCGGTCGATGAGGTATAGAACTACCTGCACCATGTGTGATCACCATCTGCCCTTCGTGCACCGTTTCGCTCTCGAAGGGAAGCACAGCAATGGCGTGCCTGTGTTTGCTCTGACCATGGGCCAGATACATAAGCCCTGCTTGCATCTGTGTGGGTGTGGAAGGGGTGAGAACAACCCGGGATGGCTATCGGCATAGTCTTTACGTTTAACACTATGTGCAATATACGTCATTGTATAATGTATATATGACGTCGTATAACCTATATTTATAACTGTTATAACTCTGTATGCTCTAGACAATTTGCGATACATCTGAGACTGTCTGATACGGAACATCACAGGCTCGGCCATCCGGATGGCAATGAACGATTCGACGTCACTGACTGGAATTGTGACTTGTGAAGAGAGTAGGTAGTTTCCAGATGTAGCATTCAGCATAAACTTCAGTGCCGTTTCCTCTAAAACGGAAACAGTGCAGATCAGTGTTTGTGCAGGTTCACGTACTCTATAAATAGAGCGTCTACTCCACATGTTCCATTGGAGGTCACTCAGGACAGAATTCCGCTTCAGTTTCCTGAGCAGACGCTCGTTTATCAATGCAAATACTCAGATACTTAACATTACTTTGCCAAGAGAAGCATTGGCTGGCATCTAACCACGTTCCCATCGCTATATGTTTCACGCCTAAAATTGAACATTCCAAACTAACAACGGTTGGCGTCACATAGCGGGCATTTACCAGATAAGTATGAGAATTGCTGTCAACCCCACGTATGTATCAATTGAATATATATAGGCGTTTTAATCGATGGATACTCCAGGTTTGCAATATACCTACCTCGTCGGTCTGCCGTATACACTCTCGCAACATGTGTGCTCCTCTGAGACAGTATTCTCTGAGTGACCGCAGTCCCAGTGAATTGTTCAGGGCCATCAGAAGACCCGAATTCCTGCACAATAAAGGTCAACACAACGCAGTATGACTCTGTGAAGATTGTGGTGTAGAGTGATTATTAAAAGTGATTATTAAAGCTGTCATGTGAAAGTTAGTTTCGTGTGCATATCACGTACTATCTCGTGCACAACTCCGTGATGTACAGCTATCTGCTTGTGTGATATCTAACATTTGTCTGTGTTGGTGGGTGCGTTTAAATACGCTTTTACCTGAGCGTGTACTAAACGGCATATGATGGCATACCATTGTATATACCCACAAACACAATCTATCCAACCGTATACGCATACAACACCACATACGTGGACACTCCGCGGGCCTCAGGTCTCACGTAGCCCACACGCTTCTTCGCATCACTCTCGTCGATCGATGCCGTGCTGGCAGGAGTGCTGGATCCCTGGCATTGTGTGTCAGGCATACTCTCCTGGGTGACACTACAGCCCATTTCAGTGATGATATGTGCAACTTCCTGGGTGCTGCTACTACAGGCTTCAGTGCTGATATGTGTAGCTTCCTGGGTGATATTACTACAGGCTTCAGTGTAAGTATCCGGCACCTCACTACTGGGCCCATCCGTGAGGTCAGCCCCATTGCTGTCTGTCTCGGGATTCGTATTCTTTAATTGGCCTTTGGAGTTCACTGGGTCTTTCTGGGTGCTACCCCTACAACTTATAGTACCATGGTCGTCTGCTTGATCTTTATCGTGATCAGCATCGCTCAATTGATTCGAAGTCACTGGTATGCTGCGACCGTCTTCAACTACAAGGTCCTCATTTCTTACAGCAGGTGTGAGTGCACCCTTCCTAGGTTCACCTGATGGCGTTGCGCCGTTCGTACCTGTCTCAGAGCTCCCGTCGGTTCGATTGGTGCCGATGGAGGACTGTCCCGGTTTGTTTGTGTTTTGGGCATTTTGGGGCCCACTTTCAGAAGAGATATCCTCCAAACTGCCGGCAAAACTACAGCTCCGACCTGTAATCCAATATATTCAAGGCATCACAATGTGCGTAAGACCTGCACGCACTCAAGGTATGCCACAGGATAAATATAGTTGCGCATTCAATTGTGAAGCTGGCACAACACATCAAGTCACATTGATTCCAATACAAAACTGGTTGTGGATGAGGTAAAAGAACAATTTTGCGAACACAGAAAACTTATTGTCAAGCAGAATACTGAATGTATACATGGATCTCGTTATAGGTTCGATTAAAAGATGACAGTCAGACAAGTCCTACAAAGCGAAAGGATCCATAAAATCGACACACCCGTATACACAATTCAATACAATACATAAAAAGCAAAGGAACAAACTAATCATCATATCTGTATATTGAAATGAATGGGCATAGATTCACACAAATACGTGTATTA